TTTTTGGTCTCCTCTTTATTCCTCTCGGTTTTTCCTTCCTTCTTGTTACCACAAAGCACTAAAACCACCAAAAATCCCTTAGATCTTTCACAACATAGTTAGGGTTCGAAATGGAGTGTTCTAGGAGCATAAAGGGCCGATGTAGTTTGTATAAGGTCGTTTAAATAGAGTGAAAATTCTCAGATTAGGGTTTTGCCCAGCCAGAGCCTACTCGTCGAGTCTTGCCGTTAACTCAACGAGTATGCCACTTAACCCCAGGGTCCAACCGTTACTACTCGACGAGTTGGGCCATCTACTTGCCGAGTCTAAATCCAAATTGCGAAGAATACTTAAATGAAATACATACCAAAAACCGGGTGCTAAAAATCTCCCCCACTTATTTAAGTTTTTTGTGACTTTTTGATAATAGTATGTTGTTTAAAAATTCATATACAACTATTTAATAATGATAAGTTGTTTTTGAAACCAAATAATAATAATAATAATAATAATAATAATAATAATAATAATAATAATACAGAACATAAAATTATAAATTAAATTACATAACCTAAAAAGAATGACTAATATTTTACATAATTATTATGATTTAAATTTAAAGGTGATCAAAATAAATAATTGTTAAATTAATTAATATAATAACAGTTAAAAGTAAAACCAAATTAAGAATTATATTTATAATTTTATTTATGTGCAAACACTGGTTAGATGCCATTAAATAATATTATCATACCATTTATTTATCTTATCATATTTTTTAAAATGTTACACTCTTATGCATCAACTAGTTATGAAAAGTATTATTGTATATTTAATATGAATGATAATCATTTTCAACAATATATAATTGTCATAATTTAATGTATGTAACACACATGTATTTACATAGTTATGATGTAAATGAATGACATCTTATCATATGGAAACGAAGTCATAATCAGAAACCTAATATTACCTCATTCTTCCAAACTAAAAATTAGGGCGTCATTAGTCTATCCTCTCTCCTTGGTCGACAAGAAAACAAAAAATTTAAAGATCAACTCATATATGGTGTTGTCTAGCATGATACAATATCCTCCTCATGTTAATATTAATTATCTAACTTGATTACTGTTACATACATTAACTGTCCCGACATATTAAGGTATGAACTCTAAATATCATCTAGCTGATGTCATGGTTCTAATAGGAACGTCACGGCGTGCACCGAGGCCTGCCATGACGCGAAGTGTGGCTATGTCATCTCAAAAATCTGCATGCGGCGATGTTTGGTTTGGCGCATGCCAAGGCGGTTCATGGCGCTATTTTGTATGGTAGGTTCTTCTTCTTCTTCTTTTTTTTTTTTTTTTTCATTTTTCCTTTTTTTCTATTTTTTATTGAACACGACACCTTTGACTTTGTGTGTATTAAGGGTTGATAAAACTTTTCTAAAAACGTAATACATTTTATATAAATATATATTTATGATATTTCTCTTTTATATATATATATATATATATATATATATATATATATATATATATATATATATATATATATATAGAGAGAGAGAGAGAGAGAGAGAAAGAGAGGAAGGTTCAAGTGAGAAAAAAAAAAGGTTGAGAATGGGGGAATTATTCTTACCAACACATTTATTTTGTCGCAAAACGCTTAAGCCTACTGGCAGAAATGGGTAACGGATACACTTGTGTTTTCCAACCAAACATGTTTCCTTAAACTATATTAAGAGCATCTCCAACCCATATCTATTTTTCCCTCATAAATGGAGTAAAAAATATGGTAAATAGTGTTTCTTCTCCAACTTTACTCTATTTTTTATCAAATTTTTTACTCCAAAAAGTATATTTCTAAAATATTTTATTTTTATAACGTAGATATTGTCAAATAAACCCCTGTACTAATTATATTTTAACAAATATATATATTATATTTTTTCATTACAAAAATATTTCAAATTATATTATAATAAATAAAATGTTTATATATAATAAATTTAAATTAATTATTACTCTATTATAAATAATTATTAAATAAATAATATTATATTTATAATAAATATATCAAGATTACGATCATATTTGTTACTATATTTTACAAATTATGTTACTGTGTTTCAAGTTTTTAATATATATTTAATTTTTTATATGAATTCAATAAATAAAAATTAAACTCTATATTTATAATTAATTAATATAAATTAGTATATAACATTATATTATAAATATTAAATATTTCATTTCAATTATAATTAGTAGATAAAATAAATTAGAAATATATAAAATAAAAATAAGAGAGACTAAAATTGACAACCAAACAACACCTTCATTTTTAGAGATATGAATAGTATTCCCCCAATGGGAGAAGAAATGGGAGAAAATAGAGTTTGGGGGTGGGTATGTTCTAATCATTACCTTAATATACACACTTTCTTTTTTAATTTTTAAAAAACTGTTTTTATCGAAAAAATATTTTAAATATATCAGAATTCATAATTTTTTATTCTCTATAAATAGACATCAATATTGATATAGTTTTAAAATAAAATAAAATATTATTATTTTTAGAGTTTCAGATCTCGTTATTCATAAATAAATAAAAATGCACCAGATTTTTATTACAGTACATTCATTATTCGCTTATGCATAAAACGTATGCTTAACCTTTTTACAGATTAAGTATCATTCATATATGAATATAACACTTAATAAAGTTTTGTTACCTAAAATATATTTTTTTACTTCATCTTTCATCACATGATATATTTATATACGCATAAAACGTGTATTAGTTGTCGTAATATGTTATATTCGTTGTATAGTCATGCGGAAATTCTTGGGTTCATCAGGGTCTTCAAAAGGGTAACCTCCAGCAAGCATGCCATATAACGTTATACCACATAAACACACATCTGCTATCTTGCCATCATATTCTTTTTTAAGCAAGACTTCACTTATTCGGTTTGTGCAGGTTCGTACTAGGTAAAGAAGATGAACAATAGATTCATTCCTGGCTTGGGAAAAGCAGGTGATAGGTAGTGATGATTGTTTGAAGGAGGTGGCGATAGGTTGGTTTATGTTTTTATGTGGTCTTGGCTAGAGGCAGTGGTTCGAGTATCAATGGAAAAGGGTGATGGTGGATAGGTAGACTCGATGATGATGCAAAACCGAAGGCGGTTTTCGATTTCTTGATGAGCAAGGATGGAAAGGTCTCGAGTATTGGCTACAGGGTCTACACACATACACACAAATTTCCTCTTAAGTTGCATCATTAAAAGCAATTTTACTCGCAACAACTTGTAAAACTTGAAGGTTGATATTGCTATCACGTCGTGTCATTTAGAACCCCGTTTGATGCTCATGGTTAGTTATTTTTGATATCTTATTAGATATGTGTTTTTAACAATTTTAAAATTGATGGTGTCTGATGTCATATATATATATATATATATATATATATATATATATATATATATATATATATAAATTTATTTTAATCATTGAAGCTCCTACCATGAGATGGGGTTGTACTTTCATTTTACAGTATTCTTGTATTGTGTGGTGTAGCGATTGTATCTTTGGGATAGAAGAATCACAAACTCGGTAAGACATATGCAATGACCATGGTGTAGTAGTAGTATATTGGGGTTGAAACATGCTTGTACTCGATACGTTACATACAATGACACTCTTATTAGTTAAATCATATGTGTAGTAGGAATCCCCTACAGTGACGTGGCGTAGGATAGAGGGCTTGTTTATGTTAATTTAAAGGAAATCATTTGTGATCAATTAAACGTGAAAGATGAGAAAATAAAAGATTGTATACCTAAGCTAAAAAGAAAAAAACAATATGACAAATTGATATAATAATCAAATGTGCTTGTATTACTAACACCTATAGACTATAAACACATGTCGGCTTTTCTTCAAACATATAATTTGTTTCAATTTTCAGGTTTAACACAAAGCAGTCAAGCGTGTCATGAAGCTTTTAAGAAAAGAAAATATTGGTTCAAAATAGGTCCATAAGCTTTTTGCAAAAGTGTAATCTTATAACATAAACAAGGAAACAAGCAATGAGTTATAGTTGTCATCATTCTAGTTTTAACTTGAAAGTAAAGCTTTTCTTATGGTTGAATTTCACTTTTCCTTTAACCAATATAAAGTAATTCAATTCAAAGGGTATTTTTGTCTACTATCGATCGATTATCCTTAGACACTTATAATTGTCAAGTACACAAAAAGCAATTTTTTCTTGATAGCCTTGATGCCTACCAACAAGATTATCATTGGGCTATTTCTTACTGGGCTCTCACATGGGCCTACTCCACTGGGCCTAGAACGTAATTGGACCCATACCATAGGCCCGCGATGTAGCAGATCTACCTCCTCGAGAACACTTGGATTTCTCGTAGTCTCGAACTGGTCGCTGTCAGATCTCTTCGCCGACGTTGTCTGTGTCTGTGTTTGTATGTCTCTCACCGTTTTAAAGAGAGAAAGAGACAACCACTGCGTATGTCGAATGAATTTCTACTTCCGGTGTTCATCATATCGTGATTATTTCTAGGTAAACGATCTTGATTTTGATCGATTTTAATCCAGTTATATTTCCCTATCTTGTCGTGTTCGAAATCTTTTGATCGGAAGTAAAGTTTCGTTTTTTTTTTGGCGATAGGAGTCAATTTAGCTTTCCTATTGGTGAAGTAGATTTCATTGTTATTTTTTTGGAGATAGGATTGTGAATTTGCGGTATTTTGATGTGATTGATCGATAATATGTTTGCTTTTTGCTTAGATTCTCGTGTGCTTTGTATATTGTTATTTAGAATATATATATATATATATATATATATATATATATATATATATATATATATATATATATATATATATATATATACTGATTCCCTAGAAATTGATCATGAATTTGAGCATCTGTATTTGATTCTGTAGAAGGCGAAAGAGATTCTGGTTCTCCAATAACTTTTCCTCCTTCATCATCATGTGGGGTTTTCCTTCAAATGTCAGCTCCAAAGACTCCACAAGACCCAATCAAGCTTCTTCCGAATGTTCTGATGACGAAATCTCCATGAACAACAACAGAGATGAAGCTCTAGAATGCCCCATTTGCTGGGAATCCTTCAATATCGTTGAAAATGTTCCCTACGTCTTATGGTGTGGCCATACCCTTTGTAAAAACTGTGTTCTTGGACTCCAATGGGCTGTTGTCAAACTCCCAACTCTTCCAATTCAACTCCCGTTTTTCATATCTTGTCCATGGTGCAACCTGTTATCACTTCGCCTTGTTTACAAAGGCAACCTCAAGTTTCCTAAAAAGAATTACTTTCTTCTATGGATGGTCGAAAGCATAAATGGTGAAAGAAAGTCTCATTCCAATTCTTGTTCTGACCATTTACCAGTAGTTCCCGCTTGGAGTTGGAGTCGAGGGTTGATCACTAATCAAAGTAGCCATACGAATAGTCATGTGGGCCCACGTAGCCATGTGAATGCTGAGAGATTGCAGTCGTCTTTGAGAAAATCTTTCTTCTTTTTTGTTCACTTGACAGCTAAGTTCCCTTTGGTGTTCATATTTCTGCTTATTGTTCTATATGCAATACCTGCAAGTGCTGTGATCTTGGCTGTGTATATTCTCATCACAATTCTGTTTGCTTTGCCATCTTTTCTTGTTCTTTATTTCGCGTATCCGAGTCTTGATTGGTTGGTTAGAGAAATCATCACTTGAAGTAAGCAGAATTTTAGAAGAACTTTGGGTTATAATAGATTAGTGAACAAGTGTCTTGTTGCTTCTCTATGCATGTAAAAAATGAGTGTGTAATATTCTGGATTTTGTTAGAATTTTTATGGTAGTGTCAAAAGTATGTATATTTGCTTATTTCACTCCATTCGCACATTTGTTTTGATTGTGGATTGTTTTGAATGTGTTAAAGGATTTGGAGTATGTAATGCACACGTGTTTAGCTATTAGAATGGAGCTTATTGTCGAAAGAGATTATGATTTATTTTAGGTTTTGGAGAAGTAAGCACATTAGAAAAGAGATTATGATTTATGTTAAGATGCGTTATCTCGTTTAAACTTCACTGTTTTTCAGATGATTTTAGTTATTGTTGGAACATCCGTAACCATATTTTATTTTTTCATTTAGAAGGAAAAATAGCGTTTAAAGTGATAATGTCTAACCCGATTCTATTTTAGAATCTATTTTTTACAGCAAAAAAGTTCCAAGAATATTACCTTTTTCCAACTGTTATAGATTTTCATAAACACCTTTACAGTTTATAAGGTTTTTACAAATTTTTCAAGAATTTTTTTGGAAAGTATTGTTAAAATGGTAGTTGTGCTTTTTTATTTTCTGCAGTTGGTCCAAAAAAAAGAATTTAGCATCCACTAGTGGTGTAAACTTTTATTTTTTGGTCGTTTTGGTGTCTGTCCAATTAAACGAAAGATTATTTTAACTTTTTTTATTTGTATTTTTCTATTTTTCTTTTTTTTTTTTTACATTTCAATAGTTAAAGAAAAAACAAAAAGGAAATCCAGCCTCATACCACCCCTCCCCTCTCTTCAATATAAATATTACAACAAAAAGAAATTCTTGATTAAAGTTGGATCTTCGTCTCAACAGAAACACAAGTAAGAAACACAAGTAAATGTGTGCATCCTCCTAGAAGAGATAGCTTCAAGTGGTGGTGCTCCTCCACCTCAACAGAGAAGGAGTGTGATTCTCTTTTGTTTCTTTTGCTTCCAACTACTAGTATGTGTCTTTTCCAGAAACCTTCCATCAAATTACTCGATTTGCAACACATCAACACAAATGGTGGAATGCTCTTCGTATCTGATTGTAGGTATGAAGGTAAGTCAATTTCAAGCTTTATTTTGAAAACTGAAATTCCAACTATGGGGAAAGGCCCTCGTATTTCTCTGTGAAACTCCCAACGAAGTAGAGTTATTTCCCAACGGATGATTTTTTTTCATCATGATCGTTATCGTGTCTCTGGCGACGATTAAGGTGATTGCACAAAATATGATATGATGGCATCGAAGACCTTGAACCGATTCCGACTTATACATTACTACCTGGCATCAGAGACTTGATCTTTATCGCCTCATTGTTTTATCTTCTTTATGTCGTTTGTCTGCAAACCATATTTTCGTGAAATACTTGACAATGTTTGTTCGATCGCCATTAGCAATTGACGAGTCTGATTTATAAATTGATGAATCTAAAGATTAAAGTAAAGTCGTGGGTAGGATGCAGACTTGAAACAAAATCTAGAGAAGAGGCATTATAATCGGAGGTCAATTAAGGGGATAGAATTTAGATGGGTTATTTCTCTCAATTGAATCGAAAACAGAGTTGTCTTTTAGTCTTTGTTTGAATCAAGAAGGGTGTGACCACATATATGGTTTCTCCCTGGTAAACGTGCGGTCAACGAAATTGTCGATGGTAGAAATAGGTTTGTGGAGGAAAATTCTTGACTGACATGTTTTGGTGACTTAGCTAGCACCATCGAATTGGCTAGGAAGAAGTCGGTGAAAAAGATGTTCTCAGCTGGCAGATGACGTATACCTTTTTCATTTATTCGAAATCATGATTTAGGGGTTTTTGGGGAGGGTCTATGATTGTGAGTCTCAGAAGTACGTAATGAAGATTAGTAAATCAATTGAAAGGGGGGAAAATGTAAGGATCTTGTCCCATTTGTGATGATATGTAGAACCATAGATTTAATTGGTGAGAGAATGCGATTTGGTGGTTTCTAACGGTTCAACAGTACCATTGGTGATTGAGGACCGAGGATGTGATGGGAGTATGCATCCTAGATTTTGTTTATTTACATTTTATGTTTATTTATCAACATAAAATGAAGTTAAATTACATTTTGCAGTAAAGTCGGTTTTTATTGGATTATTTATAAACGCCACGGTTTTGGTTCATTTTTCTCATTTTGGCTTATTTCCCTCAAAAATGTCATATTTTACTGCAAAATGTAATTTAACTTAATAAGTATCAAATATTTTTGCAAATAACTAAAAGATAACTTAAAATGTGTGTGTGTGTGTGTGTGTGTGTGTGTGTGTGTGTGTGTGTGTGTGTGTGTATATATATATATATATATATATATATATATATATATATATATATATATATATATATATAGTAGTCGTCTACCCGTGCAAAGCGGCGGACGACGAATAAAAAATATGTTAAAACATTTTCAACAATGGTATGTAATTCAAGGATTCATATTGATTTAGGTTCTCGATGTTAGCTATATTATTATTGTTTGTATTTAGGCCCAAAATATTAGTATAATAGCCCATAATGTATTTATCTTGTATATATATTGATTAATGAGAATGAGCCGAGGAATGGGAAAATATACACAATTACATGGTATCAGAGACCATCGTGTACAACCCTAATTCCGATCCTATCTCTCTTGTGCAACACCCTTCTCTTTGCCGCCACTATTTTCTTCCAGCTCGTTCTCCTATTTAATCTTACCTGATACTCTTTTGTCGATCGCTGCTCTATCATGTCTTCTTCTAAGTCTGAGAAACCATATGGCATCACAAACATCAAGACCCACATTCCACTTATCCTTGATCAAGAACATCAGAACTATGACTCATGGCGTGAACTCTTCCAGAATCATTGCAAGGGATTTGGTGTTTACCATCATCTACTTCCCAAACCCACCACTGAATCGACATCCACCCCAGCCGACCAACCTAAAGACAAAGCTGCTACCATAGATCCACCAGCCGATTGGGAGGAAATTGATGCTATTGTGAAAGCTTGGATTTACGGTACTCTTGCACAACCCTTACTCAATTCCATTATAAAGAAAAATACCACAGCATATGACGTATGGATCCCCCTTGAAAATCTTTTTTACGATAACAAAGATCACCGACTCATGGAGCTAGACACTGAAATCAGGAACTTATCAATGGGGGACTCCTCCATGATTGAGTATCTCAACCGTGTGTCTAAACTGGCGGCTATGCTTGAGAATCTACGAGCCAAACTTACTGATCGGAATCTGATCATACACACACTCAATAGTTTACCTACTAAATATGACAATCTCTCCCTTCTAATCCGCAACAGCAAGTCGTTTCCAACTTTTGCGGAGGTCCGTTCCACCCTTACCATTGAAGAAAAACTCATGAAGGTCAATGCATCCAAGCCCGTTTCTGTTACACACACCGATCATCCCTCTTCTCCAACTGCTCTTTCGGTTCAAGCCACTGGGAATGTTAATCAATCTCAAAATTATAGAAATAATTTTTCTAATCAATCACGTGGTAGTGGTAGGATCGGTGGAAGATTTAATAGAGGAGGTAGGTTTTAACGTGGGGGTGGACGTACCGGACATAAACAAAGTTTTTCAAGTGGTTTTGGTCAATATTTAAATGGTCAACAATTAATTATACATACCCCCTAGGGTCCAATTCCATGCTCTCTTGGTCCAAATAATATCTCATCTCACCAATTTGTGGTTAACGGACCACCGTATGGCTCAAATGGGTTGCTGCCCACACCGCAAGGAGCTCAAGCCCACCAACGCTCCTCTTTTTCTCTTGGCCCAAATCGCCAACAGCCATTGTGGCCCGCTCCATCTGCTCACCAAGCCTTCCACTCGGCACAACAAGCCCTTTCGGATCAGGCCACGACTCTTCCTCAAAGCTTTAACACTATGACTTTGAATGACCCCACCCACGCCGATTGGTATATGGACACTGGCGCCACCGCTCATCTACACACGAACCAAGGTATCCTAAATTCTGTTAAAAATAATTTGCCTACTTCCTCTGTCTATGTTGGTAATGGGTCCCGCTTCCTGGTAAAATCCACGGGTGACTCTTTTCTTCCTATGTCATACTCTTTCCGTCCTTTACGTTTAAATAGTGTGTTAATAACTCCTGATATCATTAAAAATCTTGTGTCTGTTCGTCGTCTTGCCCGTGACAACAAATGTTCTATTGAATTTGATGAGTTTGGTTTTTCTGTTCATGATTTTCAGACCAAACGCACCCTCCTACGATGTGGCAGTACCGACAATCTCTATCCAGTCACGAAGCCTTCTGCTCAAGCTCTCCCCTCTTTTGGACTGCAGCTTTGGCATCAAAGACTCGGTCATCCTGGTCATCATGTGTTTCAACATTTAGTTTCTCGTTGTTTAATTCCTTGTGTCAACAAAACCAAAAATAGTTTATGTCAGTCGTGTTAGTTAGGAAAACATGTTAGATTACCATTTCAAATGTCTCAATTTGTTGCTGAATTTCCTTTCCAAATTATTCATTTCGATGTTTGGACATCCCCGATTACTAGTTTGAGTGGAATCAAATATTATGTTATTTTCTTAGATAGCTTCTCTCATTTTTTGTGGGTGTATCCTTTGCGTAAAAAGTCTGATGTGAATTTAAATTTTCAACACTCTTATCAATATGTTTTAACCCAGTTCCATGTTAAAATCCAAGCTTTTCAAACCGATAATGGCGGTGTATACAATAACACTAATTTTCACACCTTTTGCGATTCTCACGGTATTCAGCTTCGTTTTTCATGTCCTCATACATCCCAACAGAATGGCAAATCAGAACGCATGCTACGTACCGTCAATAATGTCATACGCACCCTTCTCTTTCATGCTCATGTTCCACCAAAATACTGGGTTGAAGCATTAGACATGGCAGTTCACATTATAAATATTCTACCC